AGACGCACCGCACCATATGCCCAGAAGCGGTTTGTAGTGGGGAAAAATGCGGAGAAGAGGAAAACATTAATAATAACTCGGGAGCAAGTAACAATAGCAAAGATTAGCGCTTCAACAGAAAATAGTCCAGATTCACAAGGAGCCGGAAACCTTCGCCGATTCGGCCCTCGATACCAAAGGGAACAGGCATAAGGATCCCCTATGATTGGCACCCTGTTATCCTCATCTAGGACCCGGAGCCACCCTCACGTGGACTCCGGTTCCCCACTGATTTCCGTTGCTGAGACAAGTCTTGGGTCTGTAACTATATTAGCCTCACCTACAAGAGGCAGGTGGTCGGGGTCGCGGTTCTTGTTGTCGTCCGGGCTCTGACAAAACCGATCTTCGCCCGGCACTTCTCCTGCGTTTGGCGGATGATGATATGAGGGGTTCGATTTGGTGGGGATGACGGTTGTTGCTTTCACGTTTTCTTTTTTGTTTTCTGTTGCGTGGTGGCCGGTAAGGTTGCAAGTTCCTCCCCCGTTCCCATTTGTGGAGTGGGAAACTCTCCTTCGGATCCAATTCTCTGGACTATTAAAGCATCACTCCACGTTTATTATCATTCCCCACGGAAACAGTGGATGTTACTGACTGATCGCTTTTTTAGCAAAGTTCTCACACCTACGGCGCATCTGCTTGCATAACAACATAGCCCAGCAGAACCTAGATACAATGCCCTCGTAGGCCCACTGCGCTTGGGGAAACGCTCGGTAATCCACCTTCAGAACGGCTTCTTGTGAAGAATGAGAATTGAGAGAGATATGGATCTTCTGTCCCTCCTATATCATCAGCCCTAGGTGAATATAGTCGTACTAACCATACACTATACCCCGGATACTCTGACCAAGTCATGGATTACCATAGGACCTAATCAATAATATATTGTAAATCACCGGTACCCAGAGTAATAGTCCTATCGTTATCACCCCCACGATCGAGGGTTATTGGAGGTATCTCCGGAGCTAGAATTGTTCTTCTTTGTAATGCTTATGAGTTTTTTATTTGTCAGTAATGAAGAAGGTTCTGGAGCTTCTACAAAGGGACTCATGTACTAGCGAGCGCGGTTGGAAGGCAAGGAAACGTGTAGCATGTGGGGATAGGAGGGCATAGGATTGGTTGACAGGAGCGGGGTAAAAAGAAGTTGGGAGAAGTCCAAGGAAGTGTCAAGAAGAGGAGTAAAAGTGGGGTCGCCTGGGTTATGCTCAGAGACTGGAAGAAGTTCTTCATTGTTATCAGTGTATATAAGAGCATATGGCGACCGGAGAAGAAGAAGAAGGATAAGGAAGACATTGTTAGGAAAACCAGAATACGAAATATTGATACCGGCGAAAACGAGAGACTTCCGGTGCCCAGAACGAGAAACAGTCAAGTACAAATCACAAAATAATAGACCGCGGGGGGTGTTCTGTGAGATTGGTGAGACCCTTGCAAAGTAAATACGCTACTCACATGAAGCGCTGACGAGCAGTGGTCCCGTGAATCCCTCTATTTAGCTAGAGTGAAAGGGGAAAGGCAAGCCAATAAACAGAGCTTCCTGTAGTGTTCTGTTACTGCGCTGCGCCCTACCTAGGTACAGGATATGGAACAGGATACCCTGAGCCATCAATATGAACTAGCCAAAGCAAATATTTTCAAACAGTGGATCTTTGGAAAACAGACAACTCCCCGTCTTTTCATTTCATGCAAAATACAACAATGTACCGTATCCTGATATCTGTTTTATATTTGGCGAGGAAAGGGAGGTCCGTTGCACTTAGTTTCATCATGTAAACTACTCCACGAGATAACCTTTGTCTCGCACCAAGCACGCTGGCCAATTATCCGGCAGCGACATCTTGGGTCTAACTGGAGCCTCCGTCCGTGTTCCGACACCTCTGGCGTCTGCACCGTAGGTATTTTGCCTTGGCGGCATTAGAAATGGAAGTGTTATACGAGTAGCAGTGCCACCAACCTTGCTCACGAATCTGAGATCTGGAGAGACCGGTGTCTCGTAGGTGCGGTGGTTATTAAACAACAATAGCTGAAGATGCTGATTAGGTAGATAGCGTAGAACATTGGTTTTTGCTAGTATCCTCGGGAATGTTGAGTATGTGTATTCGTATAGGTTGGGGCCACCTTGCCATTACCACGTTTTCTTGGCGGGAAATGACAGGGGCGCCGGGATTACATAAGCGAAGCAGTAGGAAAACACTCTAGTAGGAAATATGAAAGAGTATAATATTCCCTACTCCCCCCAGGACGCAACCAACACCCCTTCCACCCTATCGCTGATTCGTCAACATTTTTCTCGACAACACATCACCGGACAAAAATAGGATGCCTGACAAGTCTTCCAAGCAGGGGACCTGGCGGGGTCGTTTCAAATTATCCACCGCCAAAGGACTTGTCCCTTCGGGAGCCAGCAATGCACCGACCGAGCGCCGGGAGAGCAAGAAGAACGGTAACCCGGGAGCACTTTCTCCCCAAAGTCTGCCTGGTACACCACACGATTCCAAACCAGGCACCTCAGGTGCAGTCGGGGCCGAGGACATGAAAGGGGATGTCCAAGATACGCTGGGAGATGCAATCCATGAGGAGACTCCTAGCAGCTGCGTCGAGAAGCAGATTTTAGTCAATAAGCACGGCCGGCTTAGTATCGAGGATCTCCTTGTACGCATTGATGCACTCCAAGAGCAGCAGGCCGAATACCTCACAACTATTGCGACCCATAGCAAGGCACTCGACTCCCTGGAATTTCTCGCTGGCTTTATCGAAGACCGTATAACAACCATGGCGGCTCTCTCAAGCCCCTATAAACACCAGAGAAACCGTTTCATTAGCATCTTCAAAAGAGACAAACTCGGCATTGCCACTGAGACCGACCTTAGAATCATCGGAGCCAGGGACGACTTGGTTGAAGGAGGGGATGCTGTTGTCGATGCAATCCTGTACACCGGACTAGGGGGCAGAAGGGATTACACGGCTTTTCAGAGGCTGTACGGTTTTCAGCCCGAAACTGTGCTCAGAATCGGTGAGTTATCACACACGTCCTCCATTGACTGAAAAAGTAGGCAAGCTAACTTTGTCCAGAGCACCCGCAAACCATCACCGTTTTAAACCTTCATGCCGGAGTCCTCAGTTCGAAGTGGACCACGGGCAGTGAAAAATTCTACCACCTCTTTGCTGAATTTGTTCGGACCTTTGCAGAAGTAGGAGATGGCTTTGAGGAGGGCTTCTTGAAAGGGAGGGCAACGGAAACGACTCACGCATACTGGGCTTTCTTGGGTTGCGTAGATAGCGAGGTCTCGAAGGTTGCGGTCAGAAGTTAGGCAGCGATCGATGTATGGGGCATCCATCTAGACTAATGTTTCATCCTAGCTAGTTGGCATTTGACTTTTCACAGCACACTAAACGACAGAGCATATCTCGATTGCCGTGAAATTTGCAAGGCCAAGACTACTGCTATGACTCACTCAGTTCTGTTGCCCCCATTCCTGAATTCTAGTCCATTCCCTCCTTTGCGTTCAACGAGGGGCACGGTTAGATAGCCTTATTCAGGGCAATTCAAAGTCTGACCCCGCCACTAGAACAATAATATACTTCGCCCCACCGGACCTATGCAAGACTGGCTATATACCCATAACTGATGGTCCAGAAGCCCTAAAACATGTTCTATTCCCCGGTAATTCATATGTTCATTGTTGCCTCACATGATCATTATTTTCCACCACTTGCCTGCAAGAGCGATTTTGCTACTCCGGTTAACCTATTATAAAGCGTAATCCAACGTCTGAAGTACGATGGGCGGGCCTCAATATGGAACAGAGATTGGAGCAGAAGGTGGTGGAAAAGAGGAAGATAATTTCCCGGCATTGTTCACTTACCCACCCCTGTGTATCTAACGGCCAAATGGCGGTTGACAGATCTCATAGGAATCTGTCACCCGACATCCATTGAAGATTGACTGGCTGTTGTAAATCATCGGCGCTCCCACGGATCACACGGCTGATACATCGACCCGCGGGTTTAGAAAGAAGACAGGATGGAGGACTAGGGTTGATGAAAAATAGTTATTGCATTGACCATGCTTATATCCGGGTTTGATAAAGATAGATAGAGATTCTGGAATAAGGTATGGGTAAATGTAGAACGTCTAATGATTGGGGGTAATAATATAAGAAAATAAGAATTTAATAACAACAACAGAAGTAATTCATTGTTGGACAAAGTCCACCACTCCTGCCGGTCTCCCAACTGAGGTCAAAGAGGTCAAATAACTTAATTGGTCCACATTTGCATCCATTACTTGATATGCAAAGCCGCCATCGGTGGTGCTCCCGTGATAGTCTATACTACTAAAACAGGACACACAGCGGTAGCGGTAGTTCCACAGCAGGGGTTATTCCGCCTCGATGGCATTGCCAATGGCAGTCCCATGCGAGTCTCAGTTGCGTAGAAATCTGGGATTTCCAGAGACCAATGCCTCGTAGAGAGTGTAGTGGTTGTGAGAAAACGATTGGCGGAGCAGCTGGTGTGGTAATGGTGTGGCGCAGAACCTTGATTTTGATCGGCAGACCTGGAAATGTCGGTGGTGCAGGGCTGATGCCGCAGTGCCAGTGTCCTCGTTTTCTCTGCAGACAATGACGAGCGTTGTGAGTACGTTAGTGGCTCGGCAGGCAAGGATTGATATATTAACGAGGATTTCCCCCCAGAAATTACAAACTCCACTTCCATCCTCTCCACTCGACAACCACAACAGACCTCTCTACTACACACCACCTGACAAACAACGGGGTATCTACAATGTCTTCGGAAAAACCAACCCTGCGGGATCATCGCAAATCATCCACCATCACAGGGCTTTTCTCTAGAAAAAGGTAGGGATGAACTTACCGAACAGTCCGTAGGCAAGAAAAATGCTGACCTGGACGTGGTTTCTCCCCAAAGTCTGCCCGATGAGCAATGCAATGTCAAACCGGAAGACCCATGTGGGATCGGGGCCGAGGACATAAATGCCAGCGATGCACTGACCGAACTGTACGAGGGCAAGAAGCCCAGTGATCTGGAGCTCGTTTCTCCGCAAAATCGTCTCAGTGGACCATGCGGTGCCGGACCGGAGGCCTCCTGTGAAATCGTGTCCCATAATATGAAACATGACGCCCCACATCCACTTGGAGACACAATCGAACAAGAGGCGCTCTGCAACAGCCTCGCGATGACGATCTCGGTCGACAAGCCCGGTGGCCTCTGTATCGAGACTCTCCTTGCACGGATTGATAAACTCGAAAAGCAGTCGACCGAAGACGCGAAGGCCCTTATGAGTCAGAGCAAGATAATTGACTCCCTTCAATGGCGCGGCATCTGCCGGGATGGCCAGGTAACGGCTCTTGCGGCTTCTTCGGGTCCGTACATCTACCGGAGGAACTATTTTCTTAGCATCTTCAATAGAGACAAACTTGGCACGGCAACCGATACGGACCTGGGAATCATCGGAGCGGGCACTCAGTCGGTTGAGGGAGGAGATGCTATGGTCGATGCCACGCTGTATATCGGGCCTATGCGCAGAAGAGATTTCACGACCTTTCTGAGGCTGTACGGTTTTATGCCCGAAGTCGTGCGCCAGTTTGGTGAGAACGCTCACGGCTCTCTCCACTGATCCTAAAAGCACACAAGCTAACGATCTCTAGTCCGCCCCGAAACCATTCACATCTTGAACATCCATGCAGGTGTGCTCGCCTCACAGCACAAGATGGGCAGTGAAACATTCTACCGCCTTTTCGCCAAATTTGTTCAGGCATTTTCCAAAGCAGGGATTAAAGGTGAGGAGGACTACTATAAAGGCAAGCCCACAGACGTCACACACGCATACTGGAAGTTCTTGGACTGCATCAATGCCGAGGTTGTGGATACTGGTGTCGGGAGGGAGACAAGGTTTGCTGAATAGGTTGTTCTGAGGAGTCGATGATTCATCGGAGATAGTGGCTTGTAGTTTACTCTTAGGTCTCGCCTAATGATGAATGTTCTCTTAATTACCGTGACGTGTGAGGGGGTGTGGCTGATATCTTGGTTCTCTACGGCCTGTTTCGGCCATTTCTGCATTCCCGCTTATTCCTTCTTCCCGTTTCCCCGGAAGTGCTTGATGACTACATGAAAAACAACAGAACGACCGATGCAGGAAATGAGAGTTCAACAATAAGCTCTTTTACAGGAACGGCCTGAGCTTGGCCACGGATTCATAACACGCGTTGCACAGGCCCTGAATGCATCATGTCTTATCCAACAAGCTTCATTTGATGAACTTTATTACTTTTTATTGTCCCGGCAATTGACAATATGTCGCGTCATCTCCAAGAGCCATTCGGCTACTCTGTTTGACCATCATGAAAGATAGACCAATCCGTGGATTCACGATGAATGTAGGCAACAGATGCGAGGAAACTACGTAAGGAGATTTATGCCATTACCTGTTTTCAAGTACTGGGACTAAGGCTTTACTAGGTGTGGCAGAAGGGACAACCGAGGGGCTAGCCGGAAAGAGTATCACCTAATACCACTATGATTTAGCCCTATTTGGAATAGCTGATACTAGCCTATTCAAGTATTACAATCAGGATCAAATTTACGCAGACCCTCTGTTTCCGTCATTGTCATGCTGGGTCTTATGAAACTTTGTGACATTCTGAGCACTACACGACTTACGAGCCACGAAGTTCTTCTTCCTATCACGATTGCTCAAGTAGGCTAGTGCTCTAGGTTTTAAACAGGGCTGAGTTCCTCCGCGGGTTAAGGGATAGATCCCGCTTTTGATTATTCTGCCCTAGCTATTGCCGATCACTGTGTTAAGGTACGAAAGGTGAGTGAAATTTGGTACAGTACAGCAAAAGGGATGGGGATGTGGCTCACCACCAAGATGTGGTTCACCCGTGGCAACCAGTAGCAGATAAAATACACCCTTGATTATTTCTATGATTGATGCTGTGACTAGCTTAAAATCTTATTAGTCATTGCCTTGAAATATGGAGAATTGAAATATGCTAATTACATTTTCTTAAAAACTATGTTCAGATACGGAGCAGATATAGAGTTCAGATCCAGATTTGGATGTGGATAGATAGAGATAGATTGAATATACCTCAAGTGAAAAAAACAGTAAATAAGAACCTATTAAGCTAAGAAAGAAAAGAGAGAGAATGAAAATCACTAATAATAGTAAATGGTGAACCAGGAACCAGTCCAAGCAGATGGAGATGAAAGTAAGAGATGAGACAGAAAATAGAGTGGAGAATAATGCTCCTGTATCTACTCAGTTCTTCTACTACCTTTCTTTTGATATCCTGCATTTAAATGAACAGACAAGAACCTGCTTGGTTGTTCAAATCAGCAAAGTTGTAACCGGAACTGGAATCCGGTTCTGGGATTTGGCGGATTTGATATTTAGTTTGCTTTATTGGTGGTTTTGAGTATCCCTTGATAGACAGTTTGTTTTACGTCGGATTTTGAGTATCCTTTGATACTCAGTTTACCTTGCTAGAGGTTTTGAGCATCCCTTGATACTCAGTTTGTTTTGCTTGTAGTTGTGAGTATCCTGTCATACTTAGTTAGGTTGCAGTGTCTCCTTGATTGAGGAAGGCTTGGGAAAGCCAACCATCTAGGACATAGACAAAATATGTATTTGAAGACCACTGCTTTCCATGATACAATGGCAGACTTCAACAGAGAGTATTTCTAATTGTAACGACCCTACGATATAGAGAAAATATGTATTTGAAGACCACTGCTTTCCACGATACAATAGCAGACTTCAACAGAGAGTATTTCTAATTGTAACGACCCTACGATATAGACAAAATATGTATTTGAAGACCACTGCTGTCCACGATACAATAGCAGACTTCAACAGAAAGTATTTCTAATTCTAACGACCCTACGATATAGAGCTATGGTAACCTACGTCTACACCTATACATAAGACCAGGAGGTCAGATGGTAGACGAGGCGGGAATGCAGGCGAATATCCGAGAGATATCGGATGGTCCGGAAATCTCTAAGAACAGAAGGTAGTAAAGAAATAGGTGTATCTAAATAGTGGTAAACGTGACAATGTCAGCTCTGGCCTGTGGATAGGTCAGAATGCTCGGTGAGTTTACCCTACCTAAGGAAGTCACGTTACCCTACCATGGAGACCGGTTTCATGTCACCGTGGACATACTTACCCTACCTTTATGACACAATTACCCTACCTTCCATCAGAAATGTTCTCGGAGAAATTCTGGGAAATGTTACGATTGTTGATTACACAATGAGGATCGACGGGCACTTGATTGCACTTTGATGGGAAGACTACAGGAGGGGCTATAGTGCTCCGAGCAAGGTGTAACTTGGTAGAATTATTCCTAACAGGTACCTGCGGCCCCAGGATTCGCCCCCGGAGTCATGGGCCAAAATGGGTGGAGTTGCCATTATGCTAGTTAAATGGAATCTTTGAAGACAAGTCCACACCACTGTATGCGTCGCCGCCGTCCGTCCGACTGGAGGCTGTTCGCGGGATATATATGGGGGCCAAGGTGAGAAGGTCAGGTACCTGCTCCTAAAAGGACAGAGTAAAACGCACCAGAACTGACGGAGTTAGTGTGAGCTATCTAGAGGGGTCCCTAGAGTAGTCCTGGGTAGTGCCGGAGACAGCTGGGAAGGTTTTACGCCAATCAAGCCTACACATGCCCCTTTACCGTAGGCTCTTTGTGGGTTGTTTGAGGACTCTAATAGCATGATACTTATCCCGGTGAGTGGTGTGCCGGCGGTAAGGGACCATGGGTAGCACCTATGGGTCCCGCCGCCGACACAGCTCTCGGCCGGAGCGTCGTAGACCCCCTAGGTTTGCAATCAAGAAAGATAGAACTTAGCTGGAAGACAGCTGATGTCTATGTGTGCTTGTATAGGTCATAGCACATGGGAAGAGAGTCATTTAGTTAGTTTTTCTAAGGGTCTCGACAGTTAGCCACTGGCGAGACACCGATGCACAGAGGTTTTCACTCTGGCAGGTGTATTGGTAAACACCTTGCAGGAACTGATGTGCACACAGTAGATTTCTGCTAGACTGTGCTGACACCTATAGCCCTTCGGGGATATGGTAATGGTGCCGGCGCAACTCTTACGGAGAAGGGCATACTCATAATGGTCGGGGTAACCTGATGGGGGAGTTTTGGGTATAAGTCTGACTACTAAAGATTATGCGAGAACTATCCTACTCCAACACAATCAACATCCTCTGGAGAGACTTTAATTGAGATAAGCCTGAGCTTAACGATAGTAAGTTTTACCGTTTACTTTTATTCTTTACACTTTTGCAAGAGCTGTGTTCGAGACTTTGGAAGTTTGGTGCGGTGGCATCCTTAGGAACCATCTACCTGAGGGAGCCCCCATTACACTAATATACTTACTTGAGTGGTCACCTCTTCAAGTCCCTATTCTTTATATCCTTCTCAAGGAGCCTCCCTTAGCACAGTACACCTACAAGGTTATAGATCTACTGGTGCACTACTCCTATTGTACCTGGAAGCCTCACTAGCACCCTGCTGTGAACATGTTATATTTTTTTATATTAGCAAGTGGTTCGAAACTTCTGTGCAAGATCACAGATCATAAGGCACAACCAGCGAAGCTAGCACTAAGGTGGAGGAGCCCAGCAGTAGCCCACCTACCATATCTAGTATACCATAGAACATCTCTCAACATGCAGTGGGAAACCGGTTTCTAGAGAAGGGCTCACAAAGCCTAAGAGAGCAGGTCAAGTGGAAGGACCAAAGGTTGGATTCGTAATAGACCATCCCAGAAGACAGCTAGCAGGAGATCAGGCAGCTTGGGATTTCAAGAAATCTAAGCAAAGAGTTCAGCCTAGAAAGCCCATTCATGCCTGGATGCTTTCAAGTAATGCCTGGAAAGGAAAAGCAACCTGGACCCAGCAAAGGTTTATCCAGTCTACCTCCCCAATATGCAGGTGAGGTACCAGGCCCAGAGGATGATAGCAGCAGCAGCAACATTGGAGATAGTATGGCCAGCGCAACAAGGTATTCAGCTGGAGGTCTAGCTGGCCCACCTGATCCCCACTCAGGAACATCTTGTGCAAGCAGCCTACCTGTCAACCCCACAAAGATAAAACTGCCTCTACCTGCAAATCTCTCAGAAAAACGCGAAGATGTAAAGTCAGAACCCTTTCAGCTATGTGAAACAGCAGTACAGCAATACCTAACACTACATGGCATCACCAGTGAGGAACACAACACTAGAATGTATATACGAGGTTTCTACAAAGGCAGAGCCCTTGATGCCAAGCAGCAGTATAAGTATGCAGATAGAGAAGAAGCCGGAGCAACCAGAGTCTTGCCATCACTTATAGAATGATTCCAATGATCCTGAAATAGGGAAGAAATATTCAAATCCTTCAACAACATCAGTCAAACTCATGGTAGCAAACCAAACAAAATCACCAAGGTAGCAACAGACCTCCTCCTCTATGCAAAGCACCTGTCTGGTTGAGCAGCATTAGCCTACATGTTGAAGCGCTGGTTCCACAATACTATGCATACCCTCCTGCAAAAGGATGTAGAACCAATGGAAAACGATGATGATGATATCCATGACATGATAAAGAATACGGTATGGCAGGATGCAATCACACTGGCACATGCGACCAATGGCTATCAGTTCCACTCTCTACCACCACCTGGCAGAGAACAGCAGGATAGCGGAGCATGTTCCCAAACTACAGCTGCAGAGAGATAGCAAGTCTGAAAGAGTAGAAACCAGTACACCAAGCAGAAATGCAAAGCAAAAGGTAAATATTTCAAGTGTGGAAAAGCCGGACATGTAGCTCGGGGCAGCCCAACCAAGAAAAGAAAGGAAAAGGCCATCAAGAAGAAACCCGCATCGAATTACCTTGAGGTGAATGCATACAAGGATGTGCAGATCAATACGTTGGAAGCTCAGTGCTTCCTACTAGTTCAGCCAAAGTCGGGGAAGAAGCCTCACTG